TCAACTGCGTGCCTTAGAATAACATTTGACTGCACGGTTGGCGCGGTGGCTGGGCAACTGGCTGCCGTGCAACGTGTCGCGGTTTCGATTCCAGCACGGAACAACTCTTTCTGTGATCCACAAATTGTTGTTCCGGGTCTGGGTGTGATGTGTATGTGAATTTATATGTTATGTTAATAAAACCTTTTTATAAACTTATATAAAATATTCAATATGATTCTGATCATATTTATTTATTAAGATAAGAATCATACGAAGACAAAAAGAGATAGCCGAACACCAAGCTCTATAATTCCAAGTTAATTTCGGTAATTAATACGTTTCCAATACCTAGCCAACAGTTTGTTTATAACCAATCACGTGACTGACGAAATGGTATGAAAAATAATGTAATAAATAACACCATGTCCATTTAAAAAGTATTATTCTATGACTTGTACGCATTCTATTACTAACTAACAGAGGTGATGATTCACAATACAGTATGGCTGCGGGCATTTTATTTCAAGAGCCGTATTTATTGCCTACTGTATCTATTTAATATTTCATTACATTTAATTCTTTTTAATATTTATGAACAATTTATTTATTGTTTTTGAATTGAATTATTAAATTTTAAATAGGAAATATTTTTATTAAATAATATTAATATAAACTGATTTTTTTTCTAAGAACTTTTACATAAATAAAATCATCAATTATACCTTCTGTATATGTCATATTATTATCAATTAAACAATTTCCCCACCACACGTAATACATATTTACATCTACAAAATCCTATTACGACACCAACCCATCAGAATGATCAATCATTCAATCAATACGCCATTTCATCAACTACCATGGTTCAAGTAAAAAGCCTGAGTTCAAAAGCCGGTTTCGACGAGAGAAGCCAGGCGGTAACCAAGGCTTTGTAGGTCAAGGTCCCAAGCAATCTAGGTCCTATTCATACCATACGAGAGATTTATGGCAACATTTGTTCACTATTATTACGTACCAACCTTTACAATTGAATATTATTTTAATAAATGTTCTTACTTACATATTTCTTACAAGTGTATTGAAAACCTTGAATTGATAGTGGATATCGCTGATATATAATTTTGTTTGAGGCGTTATAGGGAAGTTAGGAGGTTGTTGCTGTATCAAGTACTGTTATTTGGTTAGGCAATAAGAAAGCATTGTCTTCGATCGTAATAATCCGTCTTGAAAAATAAGAACTCGATCAGAGTACCCAAAAACTATGGGTTGACAACGATTCTGCTTAGAGTGTTTGTCAAAAATGTTGGATTAATGGCTGATTTTGCAATGGTCAGATAAAAGTTATCTGCGGAATAATTATGACGCTCTCGCGTCAAAATGTTTGTATAAGACAGTGACAGCAACAATTTTATTCCTCAGATAACATTTATCTGACTTTTGAAAATTCTGCCCTAAGTTTAATTACTTATTCCGGATTGATAAAAAAATCGCATACATGATTTAGTACTTGATCGTAATAATGGCATACTATATATCAAAAGTGCTTTTAAAGAAATATTCTACCGTTAAATCATTGTTCTTCTAATACATTAATTTTGGTAACAGCCAAAGCCACGGGAGTAGTTTTAAATAAAAATAAAACATTAATAAACATATCATATTCGACACGTTGCTTTGCTTTTAATATGTTTTAAATCGCTCTCATGCGGTCTTGAGTGACTCAGCACAATTAAAGCTCATATTAGATTTCATAATCTGTATCTTCACACCTCTTATAAACATTGCAGCACCAATCAAAAGATTGATATGATGTATATACTGTCAGAAATGTCTGTTAATTTGACTTTGACTTTGATAGACTGTATCCCAATAGCGACAAGGTTGAATTTTGTATTTATGTCTGTGTGAATTGATACGTAGGGTATACGAGTATTAAGGTAAAGTTTTTTTACAATTTGATTTTAAAGGTGTTTAGGTTATAGTAAGGGAGCCCTGGGTGCTTAAAATGAAGTTACTTAAGCATCATAGAGACTTGCTAGATTTTGAAGATTTGGTGATGCAAAAATAATTGTTAGTGGTATTTACTTCATTTGGCAAGGGAAGGTTGAATCTATTACTCTTGTATTTATATCAATAATACTATGCCACATTTGGAGAACATTAGATTTTCCCCCACATCTACTTTTAGTACATATATGGTGGGGATATTCATTAGGATACTAGGCATTCCCCTTATATTAATTTGACGCCCTCGCATTACTATCGAAATCCATTCTTAGAGACCCCTATTTTGTAAATATGATTAAAATCTAAGTCTGTTTTCAAGTCCTACTCAATAGAAAACCAAGACGGATCAAATATATTAAATAGGTAAAGTGTTTTCGAATCTTAGTGTTCTGAAACGTAGGATCTATGGATAATACGTTTCTATCCATATTTTTTGTTTCTGAGATTAAGAATATATAATACTAGTTTTTACTAAACCATGGTCAAGTGAAACTACACAGAAACCCAAATAAGATTTACATAAAGACCCTTTTTTGTGAGGGGAAAATCATCAAATGACTTCTCCCGCCCAGGACCGGGCGGGAGGGAGTGTCAGACTCTTACTGGCTAAAAACCCCCCTGTTTCTTCTCCTGCTCTGGGCCGAGGTCGCGGTGCCTCATTGCGCTTACCCCGCAACCCCGGCTGAACATCAGCTCTTTAGAGCCCCGTCTGTGGTGGTCTATTGGCTCTTTGAGGCGCGCGCGGAACGCTACGCGCCGTACACTCGGGCCTGGTTCCAGTCGGGCGGCGAGCTGCCCTTACTCACCGCCCGCAGACCCGAGAGTAAAGACCCTAAAGTTACTATTGCGTTTTAGTTGCGACAACGCCATAATCTGTTTCACTTTGCATCTTGACCTCCCTTAGCAGAACTTATACAACAGTCATTTACAACATTCTTAATTAAATTAATTGTCAGTTAACTATTCCAGCAACAATTAATGCCTTGGGTAAGGTCGGAAATAATAATATTTTTTTATTCGTATCGATTGGTACAATCGATTACGACACGCGTTTAATCGATACAATGGGCGATTCGAATCGATGAAAGACGTTTGACGTCGAGTGTATGAGTACATTAATACCTTTTTGTTTCGACTTAAAAGTTTATCAATCAATCGTATTGTTTTTCGAATCGATTCATTGAATATAAAAGTGATCCTGTTGTTCTGTAATCTGAATAGGTAGCTATTAAGTGAATTACGTAAGTAGATTAGTGACTTTTAAAATTGATTTTAACGTAATATATTATAATGCTAGTTTTGACTCGTAGGTATACAGTATACGTATACGTACACGTACGGTATAGGTAGTATACGTACCTACAGATCGAGCCACAAGGGCTCGATCTGTAGGTACGCGTCATGCATATCATTGATTCATGAATTGATCGGATACATGATGAAGTCAGCAATTTACCGGACTTTAGCAAACTTTCCTGGTCTTAATTTTATCTTCTCTCACAAACACAAACGCAATAACAATATACCTAAAGCTGTAAACAAAAAGCTATTCTAGGATCATCGGATTAAGAATCAAATTCGCTAAACAAGACAATTACCTACATTTTTTGTCCTTTGAAAACACTTCAAACAAGTAATTCAAAACCACGTTTTATAATTTTCAAAATACAATCAACTCTATGTAACCGTAAATTACTACAAATTGACATTTACACACAATACAACACTCGAGACAAAAAGTCATCACTTACATTCATATATGACCTTGGAATCAAGTACCGATTGCACTTTCAATTGTTTTAATGTAAAAAAATATAATATTTAGCTTCGGATCAAAAGGTCACAACAGCCGGTAGTGATGATTTCATCAATACGCTGAGAGTACATAGGATTTAACAATTCCAATTCAGTTCGAACTTTTGAGATTTGAAGTGTGTATGTAGTGCTAGGTCTATTTATACTGGTTAGTTTTGCTTGATATAACTTCTTTAGTTTTTACTAGTATGCAGTGTTACAGATGTTTTGTTGTAGGTTCAATTTTAACTATCATAATATTGTTTCGTAATTAACTTGCAGAATTTAATGAGATTATTTAACATATTAGAATCACATTGTAATTATTGTCATTAGTATAAATTAGATTTTGTAGTATATAATCTTTTTTGTTCTATTCGGTTCAATCAGTTTTACCTTAGTTGTACCCATATTATGACTGTACAGTTGACGCGATGGCCGGGCAAACGGACAACACAACACTTTGCGTGATTAAAAAATTTACGTTCTGGAAGTGAACATGTATTTATGTGAAACTATATATTTATTTATTTATTCTTTAATTTACACAAAATGTAATGAATTTGATACAAAAGGCAGACCTTAAGCCATATATTTGTAACCGTATTGACAATACAGTTACTAGTTTGGGCTATGCTTATTTATATACCAAACAGTATTACACACAGGTACTTACATTTTATTTAAGAATAAACGTTAAACTCCATATAAAATGACTACAAAAGTAAATACCTACAAATAATATAATACTAATTGAAAGACGTTGACAGGATAAAATAGTGAACTCAGGTAATTGTGTAATTGATTGATTGCAGTCTTAAACATCTATTCGTATTTACTTTCAATTACAACTTCAACAATCTATCATTTACCAACGAGACTTGGAATGCCATTTTGTCCATTATAAAGACGTGCGAAGTTTTATTGTGCAAATTGTAAGTATCATATATTTTACTATCTGATCCAGAGATTACTCCAAAGTTGAATAGTGACATTCCTAAAAAAGCTTGGTGATAGATAGTTATTCCAGACCCAAAGACAAAGTCCAAAACCTTGTGCTAGGACCTAGCAGCTAGGTAATGCACTAATACATAAACGATTGTAACTTTGTTTCTAATGATTTTTACTTATTAAACTGAATACTAACAGTGCAGTAGTGAAAATAGCTAGCAATTAAGTTCGCTATACTATTTAATCATACTAATTCAAAAAAGGTCATGTTTACCGGAAGGTCAACGACAAAAATGCATTAGACGCCACTGACATCAACAAAGAAGATATCATCAATAAATCTGAAGCAGCAATTCTGGTTGGTAAACGTGGTGATTAATGCTCAATCAAACCTTCTCCGTTTAATGATCTTCCGACGGCGGTATTTCCGAACGGACACGACCTTCAAACCTTCGAGAAACGAGCATATTCCTTCTTAAAAGGCCGGCAACGCACCTGTGACTCCTCTGGTGTTGCGGTGTCATCAGGTGATCTGTCTGCTCGTTTGCCACCTATTCCACAAAAAAAGAGACTTTTGTTTAGCAGTAGACACCAACAGGCAATGACAATGATGAGTAATACAAAAGAAAGTTGGTTTATACATTACAAGTTTTACTACTTAAATCTCCATGAACCATCATAATAAAATTCTTGTTCACATATCACAAAACTGCATTGCAACATTGGCCCGTAACATTGAATCAATACATCTGTATGAATGTTCCTGTCTATGGCTTCTACGTACTGTCCACACAGTTGCGTACATATTATAATTAAAATTGATGACTTAATCATCAGACGTGCTGTTTCAAATCATCAAACGATAGATCAATAAAAGAAATATCATATTTCATCCGTTCATTCATTCTTTTTACATCGCAATTTTTATTTGTCAATATTGACAGCCAATCAGACGAGAATGTGTGATTTATTGAAATTTAGTATAAGTATTAGTGAGTTAATATTAAAAGACCTTGTTGCTTTGTTGGTGCAATTAGTGTAACAACAACTATTACTGGTCCTTAATGAAGTTCTGCGCCGTTTTCAACTACAACTATTACTTTATAAGATTAGATTATTCTACAGTTATTTTTTCATATCCCTTTTAACTAAACGTGTCGTTTACCTTGTCAACGACGATTTGTATACTAGAAAAAATGTTGTTGATACAAAAGACATCAACGCGTTAGCTAAAATGTTGTGTGGTTTAATAAACACAATGCATAACGTTATAATATTATTATCATCTCTCTCTCTCTCTCTCTCTCTCTCTCTCTCTGACTTTTTTTAATTTAATTGCAAAACTTTTAATTTGCAAAAAAAAATGTAAGTATTTTTTTCTTCAAATATTTTAAAATATACAATGGAAAGGCTGCCGGCTCCCATATCGCTCATTAGTAAGATGCTTAAACTGAGTCATTTTAGCTCGACACAGTTACACTTATATTTATATAAATCTACTCTCTACAAGAAAGTAAGACGTAATAATACAAAGTTACCTAATTACACGTTCGGAAAAATAAAGAGTGGCATCGAGATTCGAGTTTCACTTCAGAGTTCACACCTCTCGTATTCCAACGATTGCACCGATCACTAACTTTAAACTTGAAGATAATTTTAATAATAGAGCCCATATATTAACTGACGTCGCCGCCCAACCGTTGCTCTATCTAATTTCTTATCTAACTACAACTTAATTAATAGCCACTTGTTGAAATCGATTTCGAGTTTGATTTATAAATCGAATGACCTGTATTTACGGGGCCTATCGATTCGAATATATTATATCGATTAAAAGTTACTTGTATGTACGTGTGTCGTATATTCCACTTGGTTTTGTTTATTTACATTTTATACCATATCGCACCCCATGTTAAGAGCCAAGCAGAAGTGACTTTTCTAATTTAAAGGTTTCGTTTTGCCCTACGCTATCCATGTAACTAAAGCAATATATAATATAAAAGGAATAAAATCACATCGAGAAATTCTAAAGCAAGGAAAGAGATTAATTATGTTTTGAAAAAATCACGGCTCTAAACTAAACAAGCATTTTTCACCACTTCACCATAACGAATACAATGGTTTATCACCGGATATGAAACCCAATACCAATCAGTGAACTTGTAATCACTACTTAACAAAACAGTAACAAGTTTATTTATTACATGGGGCACTTATTCGAATATTTATTTTTATTAAAAACGAAATGTCAAGGGGATCAAATTATTTTAGTTTAGAGAAAAAACGTTGGTAATACGTGTGAAGATTAATTACTAACTCGACGCGTTTCGAAGTAATTAATGTTCCTTGACATAGTAACAACTTGTTAAGTTGGTCATCTTCAAATATTTTAAAAAGTATGAAGTACCTATTAAGATCTGTTAGTTGAATCCATCAATATTGGTGGACAGGTGTTTGTGAATGTTGGAGTTAAGACTGAGATTTTTTTTGAGAGAGTTTATCAAATGTATGTGTATCTTGCCCCAAGTCGGGCGAGAGGGAGTGTCAAACACTTACTAACTAATCAGTACCCCCTTCTTTTTTCTGCTCGAGGCCGAGGCTGCGGTACATTATTGGATTCGACCCTTTGTTCGGTGTTGACAAAGCAGACACGTGGTCTCTAATGGCATTATGATTAATATTGTTGGTGCGCAAAATATAGCAAAACCTTAATTTTAACTAAGTCGTAGGTCTCCTGATATAAAAAAAAAATGTGATTCTTAATTCAAAGTTAAACGCCTTTCTCACAAGAAACGGATTATTTTGTACACAATAATAGGGCTGAAATCTTCTGTATGGAAAAAAGCCCTTTTAATAAAATAAAGATTAAAAAAAAAAAAAGAAACGGATTACTATTTTTTTTCTTTTTCAAATAAAACTTATTACTTATAACAACTATTTACTAGACATACGAAGGTATTTTGAAAATCGTTTACAAACTACGACACTAGTCTAATTACCGTCTTTCTCTCTAAGTTTACACACATGTCAAAGTTTCAAAGACCCGTCAATTTGTGGCCGAAGTAACAGCCCGTTCAGACTGGCCTGCCATGACAAGCCAATTTGTTTGACGCGCTTGAAACGTTAATTGCGACTCGGACAGCCGGTGTGAAGGTGACCTTAGGATGCGTACAGCTTTACGTAATGTTGACAGCTTGTGTTTGTTTCTATGTTCTTGATTGTTGATGGATCTGATCGTTGTCAACTTTGGACAGGTTGAATTTTTTCACTATATCTAAACTGTCATTTATTTTGATTATAAAATGTTCTATGTATTTGATATATGGCTTTTGAGTGATTCGTGTAGAAAATAGTTCATATTTTGGACATGTGGCATTGACATCCTCACGCCGTTTTTCGGTAGACAACTAAAGTGTATTCAATTTTTACGCTATAACAGAAGATTAGTTCATTGCCGTCAATTGCTTCAAAGTTTTCCCGAGTTATGCAATATACATAAATGTCATGTTAAACAGAACAAACTGAATGCCAGTTATCCAGGAAAATAAGAGGGTTCCTTTTGCAGTTCTCTATACGCTACTAATTAACACACGTATGTCCACACCCCACAGACTGACAGACAATAGACTCACTCGAGAGCAACCCGAAAAGGCATCGCACGACTCGCAGGGACCGCAACAATTTTCTCTGTAGTAATTGACTGTGGGATTTGCATAAGTGGGGTGGTGCCCAACTGTTCTACACTGCACCACTTTCGAAATATTAAAGCACTTCCTGACTTTAACAATAGAATAAACTCATTCAGACAAGTTTTTTTTAAACATATTTTTCTTAGAATTATTCAACCAGAAATGTGCCCTGACACTTCTTCACTGGTACACAATCCAAATGACATTCCGCTTCTAGGAAGAGATACTTTTATCACATGTGTAACTTACATGAAATTAATTTATAAAACAAAACCAGAAAAGTTTCAATATGTCAAAGTACTGTACACTATCTATAAAAAATCAAAGCCAAAACCATCTTATTATTTCACCAAAACACTAAACAAAACCTACAAACAATATTCTCAATAATATAATTCACGGAGGCTTTATTAAAAAGCCGGATCAGTGACCAGGAGGGCAGTTCTTGGGCGACAGAAATAACAGGCCAAGATTGACGAGATACATACCATTAGCTACTAACGAACATCTCAATTTAACCAACCACCTGCAAGCGAGCCTTTAAAATAAACCCACAGCACTTTCGTATGGCGTTAGACTCGTTTTATTCAATACTTAGATTTCAGTTCGGTTACTCTTACGAATTGATTTTTCAAGGATTTATTTTTGCTTTTCTATCTCTTTAAATAATGGTTTCTCTTAAATATTTTTTTTAATCGTCCTTTAAATGTTTGTGTGGCTTATGATGACGAAATTGTGCTTAATAAGACATATATTGTGTAATGATACGAAGGTTACTAACCTTTAAATCTCAAAGACAAGGAAGAGTCAGAGAGAATAAAAAATAAGGTCGACACTCGTATGATTGTTTTTGAAATACATAATTATATTTTATCATAATTAGACGTCGTTGGTAATGAAATAAAATATTAAATTATCAAGTGTTTTATTCTCAAATTATCGTTATAACCTAGAAAAATTTTATACCTACTACTTTTACTAACGATATTATCCATAATAAAATTAAAAAAAACGATTTAGTTAACCGAACTCTTTTCTAATTCGTTTTTTGAAAAAGCATAAAAAACCCAGTTCCTTATTTAAACAAATGTGCTTAACATTAGAATTGATCACGTGGCGTGCGCGCGCGCATTTCAGATCGTTTGCCGCGCGTCTAATTAATTAGTGTAACGATTATGGTACTAGGCACGTGCCACGACATTATTTATGGTCACCATAACCTGCGTTTGAATGTAGTAGGAAACCTGAGGCATCTGGAGATATATTCATGATTATTCATGTTTATAAAAAGTTTGTAGAGAAACTTAAAAGAACTACCTAACTTAAATTTTCTAAGGAGGGGAGTTTTTTTCTTAAGAGGAATTTGTTTAAATGAAACTCCGGGAGTTATGTTATGTTATCCGCTATGTATATGATGTTCATGTTAATAAAGGGTGATTATTTTTGTTACTTTAGATTATTAATGTAGATGTTAAACACCAGTAAATAATCCATTCAAGTAATAATTATACTAATTGAAACAAAAAGCAATTACCCAAAACGACCCTTAAACACCAAATTTATAAATCACAAAATCACTTAAACACTTCTATTAACCAACATTATGAACACGGCACTCAACGAATAGCCATAAAAACTAATATGAAAATTCACCTAATATCAATATAAT